AAGAAAGGTTGAGCTACCTGAATTACTGTTCATCCAGCCTTCACATCTGCTAGGGAGTAGAAAGAAATACACCCAAGGTTTGACGGCTTTATCGCGACTGTGTGAACTGTGAGAGAAGTAGTGCATGTAAGCAGGAAACTAGAAAGCAAAAAAAAAAATCTATTCCAGACCTCCTGGTTCATTCACAACCATTTACCAATCCCATTGGAAATGGTGAGTTACTTTCACCTGGGAACACTACAGGGACTCTGATACAATTGCATCGGCAGAAGTCCAGTGCAAACAGTTGAAGTTGATTCAATAAGAATAATAATGATACTGGAAAAAATTACCTCAAAAAAACATGCCCTAAAGGACCTTTTCAATTTTCCCAGAAATGAGTCCAAAAAACAATGTTTCCCAGAACATCAGCAAAAACTTCACTCCAGATATTCCACAGGGCTTACAGGACTCATGTCAAGGCTGGGTAACAAGAAACAATCGATGATATGAGAAAGTCAGACTAGGGAGTCCCAAACGTATTGCTGGAAGGCATCTGCTTCTGCTTTTTTCATAATGACTTATGAAATTTAATCATCTTTGAGGTGCAATGTGTGGGTATATTAAAAGAGAAAAGATATTTCTGCAGTAAAGTCCACAGTAAACATGTTCCTACATGAGTCCGTGGGAACAAACAGTTCAAATGGGTGTGCTCTATCACTGATCTCAAAGGGAGTCTAACGGTGGCTAATATCCAACTGGCTCTAAGGAGAATAAGTTTTCATGGGACCACAACACCTAAATTACTGGAGGAACCTCCTGAAGTAAACAGTAATATGCACAGAAAAAGGGAGACCTTGCACTTGTGGATCATAACTGACGAGGCTGGCAGACACCTCTGCCATAGACAGATTCCAGCACAAGAGCATCGCTGGGTTCTGCTCTTACATAAACAGCATTCTGCCCTCAGCAAAAAAAAAAAAAAAACCCAAGCAGACAGAACAGATGATGCTGGAAAAAGGGACATCCATGTAAGTCAAAGAAACGCCTAAGCCTGAAATACCCCCGAGTCCTACTTTCTGTAGTGATAAGGACAGGCCTACTTTTAGAGTTGTATAATCACCATCAAGTGATGGTGTATTTAGTGTCCCCTTAAACTTCTCTCTCCCCCTTTCCCTTTTTATCTCTACTGAACCTTCCTCAGCAAGAAATAAATCACAGAGATTTCTTCTCTCTGAAACTACTTAGCATCCATACTGGGATAGTTCAGAGTGGTAACGTGTAACTTGAGCCTTATGACTCCCACTAGAGAGGGCTGCATGCAGCCCTTTAAACACTAACCCTGAGTGGAACTCCTAAGCCACTCCGTGGTTGGCGAGAGAGACTCTTCTCACCCCTTCAGTGCTTGTACAGCCAAGGGTATGACTACGAAATCCATCAGGGACAACACAGCTGTGAGGTCAGTTACCACCTCCCCTCAGGCACAGCATCTCCTCCTAAATATTACTGATAAGGAGCAGAATTTCTAGATTGACAATTCCCTTACTCAAATCCAAGCTGCCTTCCACCCCGCTCGCTACAAAACAAGGTTTTAGACATGCGCTGGTGGAACAAGCCCAGAAACGAATGATTCAACAGTACCTTAAGTCAGCATGAGACTCCCCATGGGTAGGGGCAAAATAGAGGAAGAGGCTTTTCACCCAGCCTTTTACTCCTGAAGTGGTGGAATTTCAACCAGTTTTAGAGGACACGCTTGCATTTGCCATCCTCTCCAAAGACAAGAGAAATGGTCAGGGTTCCTAAACTTCTAAAACAAAAAACTCACTCACTCTAAGAAATTTCTGAAAAGCACACTTCCCTGCTCCTTGACTTTCTTTATCTAACAGCAGCATTGTTTAAAGAGCTGTCATTCATTAAGCATAAGAGGTTACTTCCTGCCTCCTAGTCTCTTCATAATCATCTGTGACCTTCCATTTCCTCTCCTTAGTAGGATTCACCGGTACTTTTCATCTAATTGGTGAAATCCCATGTTGTTATGCCTCCCCAATTAAGTATTTTGTTTATCAACAAACTCCAAAGGAACAGAATATTTAAGGAGCTGCATCAGGAAGAAATGAAGCATGGGTTTAATACAGAGGCTTCTAGAGAGAAGCCCTTGTGTCCAAACACAGATGTCATACATCCACCCTGAAATCTTGCAGTATCACATACCATTTAACACACTGTCCTGAGAGAGGTTTGATTTGACAGGGTTAGAAAGGACAAGAATTTCTAGTCCTCGTCAGGAGTGTAACACATGTTTATCAAGGTAGACAACAAAAACTCACAGCATGTTGCCCATCTCCATCTTCACAGGGAACCCCTAGAGCAAGCTGTTAGAAACATAGGACAGGGACATCTAAGCGAGCTTACTGTGCACAGCAAAGAGCTTTGCAGAAATTCTGTCAAAAAATTTGCTTGGCACACTGCCGGAAGCGATGAGAGCTCCGCACGGTAATGAGAAACTGAGTGGAGTCCAGCTAACGCTCTCTGCTTTCTGAGTAGAGCTGGCAGCACGGCGTGATACAGCGTTTGTTTCCCTGTCAGGCATGTGAACACACCGATGTTGGTTGTACATTCAACTAGGCAGCTCAAGAACCCCCTCTGAGGGCAAGGAGGTCATCTCCAGTCTGCCTGGGCCACCCTTGCACAACGACGTGAGGATTTTAACAGACCCAAATAGCTCAGTCAAGGATGTGTACGTATTCTAAGGAATCCAGGGAGTTATTTGTAACATCAGAGCTGGAAGGAACCAGAATTTGCAGCTTCAGTAAGGGATTTACAGAAAATAACAGAGACTAGCTCTTGCAGCGAACTCTCCAGGCTGAACCACCCAAGAACCTCCCTGGGGGCACACCCTGCCCAGGCCATCACGTCACCCAGCTCTGGCTGTCACATCCCCCTGGGTCCAGGGTGGGGAAGACTCACCCCAAGGAGCATGGCCCACATCTGCAAATTCAGCAGCTGTAAGCGCCTTCATTTGGGAGCACAGTGGAGAAACGCACGGTGTTGACTGTACCGCCATGAAAAAAAAACCCGGAGCCAGCGCCAGAAACCAGCATCTCAGCACCAGGAATGCGGGGCGTGGAGTCTAACTGCTAATTAGGACAAGGCAGTAGCAGAGGGCAGAAGAGGGGAGGAGGTCAGTTTTGGTTCCCTCAGGACTTCAAAGTCTTTCCCAGATTCAGCTACATAACAGCCTTTAAAAGGAGAGCGATGGCTTCTTTCTTCTACGTTAGCAACAAAGCAGAAACTCTCATGCCAGCACTGTCTTCTGATAATAACTGTCCTTTTATCATCTATTCAGGAATAAAACTGTAACAAGGCAGATTTATATCAAATGACAAATAACAGCTGTGGGGAAAAAGAAAAAGTGTCGCACTTCATTGGAACTCTGTAAGACTCTGACAGCCAGAAACACACCACCGAAGTGGCAAATCCAGCAAAAAGACAAGACAGAACTCACAGCAGATGTTAAACCAAATGGGAACGTGTTAAAATTAAGGGCCATTTTCCCCCTTTCATATTTAGCCTCAAAACATCATGTAAAGAAACTCAACCTCTTATAAACACAGGCTGAGTCATTAGTGCAGGACTGACACGAGCCCCTTGCAAGGATTTCAGATTAAAAGGTAACCGTTAACACACAAGCAGCTCCTAAAACCTTATGAATATGTTAATCTGGTATCAGCTGCAACCCTCCAATATTAAAGTAATAAATCTTACCAGGATGAATTTTACCATTATTCACCTGGTGTTACAACATTCATTAAAAATATGCAAATATTTAACGTGGAGGATGCTGATGGGTCTGTAGCATCATTACCAATTCAGTCCTGGACCAGACCACACAATTCCTTCTTCCCAGAGAGGTCAAGGCCATACCTGCTCCCAAGTATCAGCACTCCCAAATTCTCCACACCACCAGGCGCTTGATCCACGAAGGCTGCTGGGATTGCCAGGAGAGAACAGGAATGCACAAGGCTTACACAAGTCACACCTGCTAGAAGTACCACAACAGCCACCGAGAAGTGCTCAGGACTGAAAAGCATCCAGCAAGCCAAGCTACAGATTTTGCCGGAAGGATGCTGATTCCAGAGGGACAGGATGATCCTGCTTCAATAAGGCCCAAAATAAACATTGAAGAACAAAATTAGTTAAGTACCTAACCCCAGATTATCCCACAGCGTGAGCGTGCAATGCTGTCAGGTATTGTTCTGCATTTCTTTAAAGGGCAGGAGGTGATAGCACTGGGTAATGCTGCATTTAATTAGTCAGAGCTGGTCTCATATTGGAGCACTGACTGTAGGGACAAAGGAGACCCACTTTTGTTTCGAGCAAGGACTTTCCCAGTTACTTGCCATGTAGCCTTGAGCAAAGCACTGCCTCTGCATGTTTTGGCTTCCTGCTCTGCCAGCAGAAGATCTGCCTTCCTTGCATTCACTGGTCTTTAAAGGTATAAGGGTGTTGTTCAGTGGAAGGCAGAAGAGAAATGAAAGTATTTCTGATGTGCTCACCTTTTGGCACGCAGGCACTTCTCCCAAACTGAACTGTGCAGAGCAGTCTCAGGAGTATGCAGTATGCAAAAACAATTGAAAGAAGCACAGCCCTATTTATCCATACTGGCATTCCCCTCAATCCTCTAAACCCAAAGGGGTTCAGGTGAGAAACACTGAACTGCAGCACATGCAAATGTAAATTCACTAGGCACATGCTTCCCGCTGAACTAGACTGAGCGTTACTCCACCATGGGACTAGAGGACATTTTGCTGCTAGAGGTGCTGTGACTGGAGCTGCTGGCACTAGAAAAGGACAGAGCTAGCTGGGTTAACAAGCATCACAGGGGATTCATAACAATAGTGGTCTGAAGCAGAAGAGCCCTTGACTAACTCTTAACTTGGACTGCTGCACCCAGCAGTTATCCTGCAACTTCCACTTGACTTGGAATTCTTTCATGCTCTAAGCTGGATGCAATTGGATACGGTCATGGTCCATTCCTGGACTGTCAACGCATCCGTCCTTGCAGCCTGTGTCAGTCCGCAAAGCGGCTGAAGATCTCTTCCAGAGAAACCTCACCAGCTGATTTCTGGGGGATAATTGGAGAAGTCCATTGTAAATCACACTGCACGAGAACAAACACACTGTTGTCCTTCTGGCAGAGGGCAGAAGCTGCCTATGGACTCACAGGTCAGCATCTGAGAAAACAGTGATGCGGCTCATGGGTAAACTATGAGTGTTGTTTAATTTATGCCTGTTTTGGAACAGAGGTGGTCACATACAGCCTGCAGACAATATTCTCTTTGTAACTGGAGCCCAAAGCTGATTCCTTATTCCCAGAGACCATGGCCTCAGGAACTGAGGTCCAGCCTTGTTTCCCCTTCAGGCTCCTGCTGCTTGCACATGCCCCAGTGGGTCTCACTTAACAAAAAGCTCACACATACCTCTTGGCTTCCCAAAACTAAACACTTGCTCACATGCCAGGAAAAAGAGCTTTGCCATCTATGTACAACAGCGTGGCTTTGTAACCCTGGCCATAACAATAGCACTACGTCACAGCCAAGAAGACTGAGGCAGCTAAAACTACCAGCAACCATACAATCCGTTGCTATATGACGGCAATGTCTGCTCAGGAAAGGAACATGAGAAGGATATTGAAGTACTAGGAGCAAAAGCAATGACATTGTCATCAAAAGAACAAAATGCCTCCTAATACACATGCACAGTATAGCACACTGCTGGACCCTGTTCCCCGGGGCCAGCGTGGGAACATTTCAGCATGTGGGGCAGGGATTCTGAAGTGATGTGGCTCCGTGGAAGCGATACCTACTGAAGTGTCTATTATGTGTCTCCATGGAAGCGATACCTACTGAAGTGTCTGCGAAGAAGCCTTTGCACCAGGAGCAGCTACAGCTGCACTATGGACCTTGGCGTGGTCTTTGACAGGAATGCAGCTGTTGTCTTTACTCCACTTCATTGTTTGGGCTTCTTGGTCAGCACTTTCTGCACATTCCTCAGGTGGTTTGGCAATTATAGAAGACATGGCACTGCGACCCATCGTTATGACAAAGGGTACAAGTTTCTCAGGCTACCTGAAAGAAGGCATGGGCTGAAGCACATGCAGAGGCTGTTTTGGAATAACAGTGGCATTGACAACAATATCAGCTTCCAGCAAGTCAGCTCTGGTAGTGCCAGAATCACAAAAAACAGGGCAGTTGCCTTCCTCCTCAGGAGAAAGGGAAATAGCAAGAACAAAGATGCATACCTTGGAGACTCCAGGCCCAACAAGCTGTTCTCATGAGCTCAAGGTTCTACACCACCCTGAACCTCCACACAGTGCCCCTCACTGTCCCTCAGGAGGCCCTGTGTTGAGGTAGACATGGAAGTGCTGCTACAGCATTACTATATAAAACACAAATTACAAATATTCACAACACAGGGAGATGGCTCTCACAGTAAAAGGACCTATCAACAACAGCTGGATGTGAATACACTCTTCCCTCGTAGGTATAAACCTCAGAATGTCAGTCCTGTTTATCTCTACTTTTCACCCCAGTTTCCTGGAGAAATGAAGTGTGTCTGATCACACTGCCTGCTTTTACCCAGTAATTTTTGTCCCTGAAGGCAAACTTCATTCACATTTTACAGAAGATTGGATAATTCACTTGAAAAACCAGTTTCTGCACAATGGAAACTGGTCCCCACAGAACCAGGGTACTGTGAGTGATCGTACTCATTAAAAAAGGTATAGGGCGACCTCAAGTTTTCCAGGAAACTGAGTAATTCAGTTGTTACAAAACCACAGATGGGGATGAGTTTGAGTCAAGTTCATACTCACACAATGCAGAACCAGCTTATGGGAAAACTGGCTACATGAGACTCCAATCCTCCAATCAGTAGGAAACTAAAATGAAGAGAACAAAGGCTGGCAAGACAACTACAAGCAGGCCCACCTTGGAGACCAGGAACAGGTCTCCTGAGAGGTTAGCTCAAAGCTGACACTGAGTAATGCTAGACACATATGCATGTACAATTAATAAGAGACAACTTCTCCATTGCAGGTATGTTCTGCAGTAGACTACAATGATTAGGATCGCATATTCCCTGAAATTAAGTCCCATGAGTTTCCAAAGAAATGGTGCATTAGCAGAAGAAGAAAAAGTTGCCATGAAAAAGAAATAAAACTAAACTAAATCTGCTAAAAAAATGTTAAGAGGGCAGTAAGCCTAGTTCTAAGCAGAGCAACCACCATGTAATGCTGCACGATTGTCAGTTACCTAAATTGCTACCCAAGAAAAAAGAATAAATAAAAAAGGCAAGATAAAGAGGCTGAAGTGGTGTTTGCCAGCATAGATAAATCAGTTCACTAATGGATTTGATGCTGACTTAATCTTCTTACTTGGCAGTGTCCCGAAAAGCCTACTCTTTTTGCCCTCCCTTACCTAAATGAAATTAACCTATTCCAGAAAATTAAGAACAATTTATCAGGCCACTGAAGGCAGACTGCTTGCTGGATCTGGATCTGTGTTATTCTACCCAAGAAACAAGAGAAACTTTGTAATTTAAAAAACCTGAAAATGGGAGGATTGGCAAAGTATCGCATCTGGAGTCTCGCTGCCCTTTTCGTGCATGCTTTCTGGCTGCTCAGCACACAGGTTGTACAAACCACCCCTTGTTTGGAACAAGAATGTTTGGCTCCTGCTACACCACAGTTGGTTCTTTGGTACTTTAGAAAATATAACTTCCACTGCCATCAACCAAGAAGAAATTTCTGAATTAACAAAATGGGAGCAGAATATTTCACTGTGATTTCAAGGTCTTTTACTTTGTGGACAAAACTGAAGGGTTTTTTTCCAAGAAAGTTTTACATGGAAACCTTCTTTTCTGAAGACCCGAAGGCTGAGAAAGAGATTTTGGCTAAACAATTGGCTGGAGCCAGAATGTTGCATCAAAAAGAAATCCCTCCCAGGCAGAACTTCAGTTTGGTGCATCTTTCCTCTCAATCTTTGAGCTCTGCCTGCAGGAGATAGTAAAAATAAACAGTTATCTGTAATAATGTTGATTTTTAACCTTTTCATTCTTGGGAGATGAAGTAGGACAGGAGGAAACGTTAAAGAATAACAAGAAGATGACATAAGGGTTTTAAGTGAGAAAAAGCCTGAGGAAAACACTACTGTGAGGGTGCACTGTGCCCCTGCAGCAATACAACTGCCTGGGTACTCTGCGGTACTCACGGATGTGACTGCAAAGGCTGGCGTCACAGATGAAAGCAATGGGAGCTGGTGAGCAAAGTGTCCCCTCCTGCTGTACTGCCCTCCTGCTGCAGAGCCAGCAGGACATTCCCTCTCTAACATGAGGTTGCATTCAATTAATAGAGAAAAATCAGAGCAGGACAAGCAGCTTAGAACTGCTGCTAGTTCATTTTAAATTCAGAAGGCACCTTCAAATTAATTCTGTGATGGACGTGAAAGCAGGAGCACAGCGCTCGCACCCTCCTGGGATGCCTGCAGAGCTGGAAGAAGGAATACGATACCCCCTCCCATTTCTCTCCCCATTGTTTGCATAGAGGATTGGGCTGAAGGAACAGCAAAACCTGGAGACAGGTTGTGAGTGAGAAAGGGAACAAAGAGAGAGGGAGCACTGGGGAAGTCGAGGGGGGTCAGGGCACTGCACACTCCCTCTAGGGACCCAAAAAGCACAGCTTGCTGTCCACTTTTGCCACTTTCAAGGGACAATGCAAGACCCACGTCAGCAGCAACAGAAGGCTCAGCCCTGCCCCTACAGACATCAAGGCAAGGCAGTATGACACATCTCCATTTAAGCCAGGATTCACAGATTTTTTTTTTCCCCTCAGATTGCCGTCTCATAGGAAGCCAAAGCCAGTTCTCACTGGTTGACCTCCGCAAGGAGAAGTAGTAGGTCTTAAAACACACGCTACTTCATTTCCCCATAGGCAAAGCTGGAAATCAAAATGCTCTGTTCACAACACGCAGCCCTGAGCCAGCGTAGCATGTTGGAAACTATGTGGGAACAAGCCCGCCAAAAACACCCCCAAGTTTGCTGTTTCTTGGAAGTGTCAGGTCCAGCGCCTTTGGGCACACAACGAGAAAGATGTTTTGTGCACCAGGGTGCATCCTACCACGCGTTCATGGTGATGTGTCCATATCACACACCCACTAGCTCCCGGCTACGAGAGTACCTTTTTCTTCTCCAGATATTTACCCTCCCTCACTTATACATTCTCCTGCAATGTGCAAATGGCTTAAAAAGATGATACCGGGATTTAGTGGGATTATTATCCATGTACAGGGTTTTGTGGTAAAGGAAGGAAAAGCTGACTCTCCTCTCTTTTACAGAGAAAAGTGAAAATGCATTGGGAAGGTAATGGTTCTGCTGACACTATTAAAAGTCCAGGGAAGGAAAGTCTGACTTGAGTGTGCATCAAAGCCTTCTGATCATTTACAGATTTCTTTCCATAGAGGTGATCTTGTGGTAACATCAATATTTGTAGCTGCTGCAACAGTAACACAAACATTAACACAACAGTAACACAAACACAAACATTAACACAAACAAAAAAAAATTCAAAAGCTCAAGAAATGACATGCCTATAATTATGATTAATGTTCATTACAAAAGCATCCCAGAACTCTTCCAGTCCCTAATACAGGGCGAAATAGAATTCAGAAATTACCAATACTCTGGAGATGCATTTTGGAAACTTGAATGACATAATATGAAATATAATTCATTACCCACATAATGTCCAACACAGAACTAGATATTAGACACAGTGCAGGTTAGAAAACACAAATTTCGTCAACTCTGAGCTCACAGGGTATGCAGTCTTTCAGATAATTACACAGATTTTGACTCTGGCACACAAAACATGTGAATGATTATCTATCGACACTCATTTTCCAGAGATAAACAGTCACATTAAGAGGACTTAATGGAGGACACCACACAACCTCATTTGAGGAAAAAAAGAAAAAAAACAACAAAGACTCTTTATCTCCACAAGAGATTGTTGAGGCACTGAAAGGATGTGGAAAATTGGAAATAGCATCCATGCTGAGAGCATAAATGATCCTTCTCCTGAAGAGAACAGAATTGGACTATTACTTCTCACTAGGAAAAGCAGAACAACATTTTCAAACATGAGTCCTACTATGAGACCCATAAATCTACATCCCACAGCCTAAGCAATCCCTCATGTCATTGCCATTTCTCTCTTCTCATTTCTATCCCATTCCCATGGTGCTTTCTCCTATTTTTCAGCAAAGGACAAAGAAAAGCAAGTGCAGTGACACACGTAATATTGCTGTAGGCAAACCCATTCACCTCATACTTCCCTTCTCAGTACTGATGAGTCTCAAGGGTAAATCCCCTCTTTTACCCTGTTTTTGTTACTTGGGACATTCCCGACAGGGCGGATCCTAGTGTACTGAAGCAAGTGGGAATGCTCTCACTGCTTCTGTGGCAGCATCACCTTAAAAAATGGTTTTGGAGAATGTATTCAACAGGGATTTATAGGCAACATTGAAAGTTAAAAAGTTGTTTCTGTTGCTCTTCTATTCTTCAAATTCCACCTCTTCCCATCCCAAGGCAAGAACTGTACTGTTATCAAGTTTTAGGAGGATATGAGCATCAAACACCATAAAAAATAAAAACTGCAGAAGGCACTTGCTCATGAAGTAACCTCAAATTCTCCCTCTCAATTTGGAACATACCTGTATACATCTACAATGGATGAATTCCAATAGTTATTTCCAGTACAGTAAATAACAAGCTTCCCCAGCACTGACACAGAGCACCATAGCAAGGAGCCTCAATATATAGTGTTTTGGACAAGCTGTAGAAAGCTTACAATTTGATCGTTTTTTGCTTTTGCTTCACTTCCCCATGTTTTCAGCTCACTATATAAATAATGTCTTGGACTTTCTGAGCGCTACTAGAAGCAAAAAGTGTTCACAAAGCCAGGTAAATAAGATCAATAATTACCACATGGAATTACTCAACCGAGCTCTGTTAAGGTAACGTTATCTCATACCACAT